TCATTTGTAATCATCCAAATTAAACGAAATAAACATTTGAAATACATGAGTTTGTATGTAATGTATAAATATAATATACAAGTTTCACTTTTTAAATGGAATTATTGAAATAAATCTACTTTTTCATGATATTCTAATTTTATGACCAGCACCTGTAGATATTTTTAAGGTTACAGCTGCGGATCATACAGTTTCTGTGTCGGCTGCTCATCTGGCCGCAGAAGACCGAGCTCATTGACCTCGTAGGATTTGTTGAGATGTGCCGACACAATTTTGTCTCCTTTGCGAACTTGACCTCCAAACACAGCGATGTTGGCCACCACTCCTCGGTAGATGTCAAAATTGGAGTCAAACACTAAGGCTTTAAATGGGTCGCTGATGCTCCCCACAGGCCTACAACAAACAAAAAACACTTTTTTAACAACAGTAACAACAAAAACACGATCTTCATGAAGATTTAACAATTCGAGCTTTTTTACGGTGGAATTTTGTCCACAACTGCTTGAAGAACCTTTTCAACGTTCGTCCCCAGTTTTGCTGAAATCTAAAAGAAACACATGAAAGAAAATCAGAGAAGTGTCTCACAATAAAAAGATGCTTGTTTTTGCTCCATCTTACCCTGATGCACTCCTCCTTTGGAATATCAAACACAGTTTCAATCTGTGACGCCACACCGTCTGGATCAGCATTTTTCAAATCAATCTTAGGGAGAAATGTCAAACATTATCGGGTTCATGCAGTGAAACGGGAGACCAACACATGGAATTACTCCACCAACAGAGGGTCTTCAAGTACCTTATTAACCACAGGGATTATTGTCAGCTGAGCTTCAAAAGCCAAGTAGAAGTTGGCAACAGTTTGTGCCTGAATGCCCTATAGAAGATAACAAAATATCATCAATTGTATAATAGATAACAATTATCTCGATAGTTCACAAAATTCAAATAAAAACATTAATACCTGGTTGGCATCAACAATCAGCAAAACACCTTGGCAGGCAGAGAGTGAACGAGACACTTCATAATTGAAGTCAACATGACCCTGAAGAAAAGGAAAAAGCCTTTCATGCAAAGTAGACACATTTTTTGTCAACTTTTGCAAAATAATTATTTAAAAAATCTCCTGTTGCGAAGCAGGAGGAAAGGAGAGGGGGAAAAGTAACTTATAGCAGCAGAACAGGTTGGAAGATGGCTGTTTGATGTTATTTATTGTTTTATTAAATCATCCTATAGGCTCTGACATGTTAGATAAATTTGAAAATGAGGTTTTTAAAATATCCGTAAGACTTGAAAAAATCCGTGAGATTAATCTATATGTCCGTTTACCTGCAAAATGATGTAAAATCATCATAATTTACAGACAATCTGTATAAGTT